CCTTGAGAACATACATACTCCCTTGTCAGCTAACACACACTATCTAACTGTCTTCGTTGGGAGTATTATGTTCGCTCCTCACACCCCTAACCTGCATTAAAACAATGCGGGTGGGCCTGTGGCCCGGGGGTCTTGACCGACCCTCATGCCCGGGGGAGAGAGAGAGAGAGAGAGAGAGAGAGAGTGGGGCCGATGTCGTTTACCGACACCCCCAAAAGGCCCTTGAACAGGGGCGCGCCATCCGGCGCGGGGNNACCCCGGAGAAGAAGAAGAAGAAGAGTGGGGCCCTCATCAGGTGTAGCAGTCGTACTGGAACCAAACAGACAGTGCGCGCACGCGCGCGGAGTGCGGTGCTTTGCCGTGCTCTTGACTGTGTGGAAGAAGAGAGAGAGAGAGAGAGAGAGAGAGAGAGAGAGAGTCAAGTTTGGCCTGCACCTACATAACTGAGAGAGGCGTGGCGATAATTTAGGTCAGGACTCTCTTTGTTACAGACGGGTATTTAACCAGATTTCGAGAGGTATATGTCGCTAGCATTGTGTAGAATTAGAAGGGCTAGGAAACAAACTTGCACAAACAACATAACCAAAGGCTGTTGGGTGGTTGATCCAGTTAAAAAGACTCTCAAGTATCTGAAGCCGTCCAAACTGGTCAAACCCTTCAGACGTTCTCCAAGCCTTCAAAAACGTTTGACAGGATTCGAACGGTTGTTCTGATTACAGCTTAGAAGCAGGATTCGACAATTTAGACAGGAATTTCGAGAATTGACAGAGGAATTTAATTTGATGTTAAGGTAAGGTTCCAACCAATACAAAACTGGGTTAAGATACTTTAGATGGGTATGAACGAGTTGCTGGACTAAAAATAAAGATTCCAAATTTTCCAACTGGTCAACAGTGCTGAGTCGCGTCACCGAAGATTGAAGAATCAAGATCTAAAAGAAAGTATTGTGGGAGTCTTCGCTTTCGGAGTGGGCTGCTTGAAAAGGCTTTTGGTTCAAGGCGCGTCACCGCAGATTGAAGGTTTAAGAGAAAGTTTTGCGGGAATCATCGATGTTTTGGGTAAAAACGGGGGGAGAGGGGGGGGAGCTTGAATTGGCTCGGTCCGGATCACGGAGGATTGAAGGTTCCTGAAAAAGCTTTAGGGGTGGAGTCTGGGATTTAGGGCGTGATGGTTTCCGGCCGCTCCATCGTAGAGCTAAGATTCCTATCAAAACTTTCCGGCTTGAAATACACATAAACCAATATATATATATATATGTATATACATATCTATATATATATATATATCTATATATGTAAAGTTGCATATGCACATGCACACATATATAAACAAATAGTCAATTAACAAATCAATAAACAACTGAATAGATAAACACATACATAAATTTATAAATGAACGAAGATATATATATATATATATACATGTGTGTGTGTTCGTTGTCACTATCTTTGCTTGTACTACGATGGGTGGTAGTCTCGTAAAGAGCAAACGGAGAGAGGAGGCGCGCACGATCCTACCAACCCCAGAAAGGAGTCATTTCTCAATCACGGGGGATCCTTATTAATGTATTGCTCGTGGCATCTCATGGCAAGCTTCAGCAGCGGACAGCTGGAGCTCCGTTTGGGCGGGTGGTCAAGACTGAACGTTTCAGGCCAGTCATGCTGCTTGTTCCGCCTTGGAGCAGGACTGTCAGCAGGACAAGCTTGGCTGACGGAAGGTCCGTGGACTTGGCTCGGCACCTACTGAGTTCTACTGCCACTGACGCACCGCGAGAGCCCGAGTCATCCACTATGCTCTGCAGGATGTGCTCTCTGTTCGGGCTCCCGGCGCAAGCCCGAAGAACAAGGTCTTCATGCTGTTCGGGGCGTTCCCGACTTGTGTCTTGTAGTGATTGTCGCGACCGGCCCTAGTGCCTGTGCACGCAGGGCTGCAAGTTGGCCATCTTTCTTGACGTGTGTCATCTATACGATGCTTGTTATTGCTGCTTACCCGGGTCAGTGCGACCAAAGCCAAAGAGTGACGAGCCAAAATTGACATAGGCAAAGGCAAGGGGGATAATTGATTCTTCGACAGCTGCGTTTGGATGGTCAGCCAGAACGGCAACAGATCAAGAAACATGACTGTAAGTCATGCAGTGATTCACGATTCTTCCCGATTACAGTCTTAGTCTATCGACCATTTCCGACAGCATGTAGCGGCCATTCTCGAAACGTCGTGGAGTGCGCTTGCCGCCGGGATGATATGAGCAAGGCTTGCTGGGAGGGCCGGATTGCTTGGACTGCAGGAACAAATCGCGGCATTGTGTTGGCAAGGTTGCGGCCTTGGAAGAGGACCTGAGGCACCCACATACCCTATCAGCTGAGGCCCGGAAAGACTGGCTTGCAGAATCGCTCGGCCAGCGAGTTGTGATGATTCTGTGCTTGAGGATGTCTTGGCCCACTTCCACGTCAGTTTGCAGACGGGGCTCACCCGCAGCCAGGCGGCTAGCGACTTGAAGAAACCTCGGTACCCGCCATTTTTCGCCAATGGTTGTTCTGGCAGGTGCTCCAGCAAAGGCTGCGCCATGGCCCGAACGAATTGGCGGAGGAGGTCCATGGGAGTCGAAACGAGAAGAGGTCGAAGCAGACCTCCATCGCTCGCGGTTGTTACGCATAGGAGAAGAAGTCCATTTGGAAGCTGATCCTGGCTCAGTTCGAAGACTTGTTGCTCAGCCAATTGGTCAGTCGCGGGGTGTTGGTGTTAGAGATGAGAGGGCAGTGCGACCACAGGGGCCAGCTTTTATTAAGCCTCCGATCTCAACATGATGTCTTGGCCCGAAGCGTACTTCTTACAATATGTGAACATCAAGTGAGCACAACTGGATGTTGGATGCAATGCGTAACAAAGCCTGGCCGGCTTGACCTAGAGGGGCGAAGTTCAGTGCTGAGGCTAGTGCGAATCCTGCTGGTCTCTGCAGTGGTCTCCTTCGCCTTGGCTGTGCTGGACGAGAAAAGCAGCGAGGCCTTCATCTGAGTTCAACATGGGGCACATTCTTGCAACTTTGCGCATTCGAGCCAATGCAGATACATGGAAAACATTTCTGGCGTCTGAAAATGCTTGCAGAAGAGGCAGTCGCTCCTGAAGAGTCCCACACAAGCAAGGTCAGTTCAACCGTGCCATAAACGAAAGAAGCTTTCAAGTGGACCGTAGATTTCCGACCTGGCCTCAGGAAGGGATCACTGCATTCGTTGAGCCGCCACTTCGCCCTCACAGTCTTTTTTAGTGACTGCAATTTTTGCACAGTCTAGGCTGGTCTGTGCTCACGAGATGGCCTATGTCCGATTCAAGCTTTGTCATGCAAGGCTCGTCATCCTCCTCATCCTCATCGCGAACGCCTTCGTGACTTGTGCAACCAAAGCAAGTGGAACTGCTATAAGTCACGCGAGCATATAGGCGATGTTCGAAGTCCGATTGTGCTATGTGCATGACACTCCTCTCATTGGCGTCTGGCCCTGCACCACCTGCATCTCACGCTAGATCACAGTAGCAGTGTTTGTTTTCAGGTGGGTGTTTGGCAAGAGTCTAATGCGGAGAAGGCGCTGGATGCTTTGAAAAGGCCTGCCGGATTCCTGCACTCAAGCTATCTCAAAGACTTGGGTTGATTCGGCAGAATTCCGATACAGTTCGACGTCTAGTCCCATCAGGCTACAACCCGACACTGCAGCTGTCCTTCGTGATGGGTGCTGGACACCTGCAGTCTCTCTGCATGTTGCTGATGTGGAGAAGGGGTATGTGCACAGCGCATTGCAGCGACACATGTCCAGGGTGCCGTATCTTGGCCATCCAGGACAACCGTGAACGCTGCTGGCCTTGTTCCTGGGGACGTGGTGCAGGTGCCTTTCCGGCTAACTAAGCACATTGCAACCTCCTGCATGAACTATTCCTTGAGGTCAAGGTTGGTGACAAGGTGCCAGCAGATCTTCGCGTCGCAATCCTGAACAGCACGACAATTCGGGTCGAGCAGTTCCTTGGCAGAAGATTGGAATGATGCCTTTGCCAAGCTGAGCCGAGTGGTCGAAAGCAAGGTCCCAGCTAACGGGCGAATCTCAAAGCGTGTCCAAAGACCCGGCCACATGTCTGCCTCTGGAGACCATCATCCAGGGCAAGGCCGGGCAACAAGTGCTCAGGGGACCTGCTTACACACACATTTCAAATCTGTAGGGGAACTGGCCATGAGCAGGTGAACATGCTGTTTGCCTCCACGACGATTTCCAACGGTGCATGCATCGGGGTGGTCACTGCAACGGGAATGGCGACTGAAATCGGAGCGATCCAGGAGACGTCGCTTTTGTTGATGTGCCTGCGCGTGCACGAGCATGGTTGCATGCTAGCAACACTTGCTCAACTCCCCTGGATACAGGATGCCGTGCAGCTGGCAGCAGGCGAGGAGGCGACTAGGCTTGAACTGGTCGCCTCGGATCAGGTTGCCGTTTGTGCCGTCGGGACCGCGGGACTTGTTCTTGTTTCGTCAGCTGTTGCCAGGGCCAGCATAGTGTGTCAATTGCGTGCAGTACAGGTTGCCCTGGAATCCAAGAATCCAAGACTTCCTTACGATCAATACGCCCAGAAGTGACAGCAAATGCTTAGAGAGCTGACACACATCTCGCGGTCATGTAGCCTAAGCTGCCTCGACGTACTCGGAAGTACTCGGAAGGACCTCGAAGCGTAGTGGGCATAGTGCCAGGAGCAGACACCGCTGCAGCAAAAGCTGGACGATTTCGGCAACTTGCTGGCCAAGGCGATGCTTCTCCAGACATAAGCCGACACAAGCCTCCTTGCGGCCCTTGCGCTCGGGTTTCAGGTTATCTTTGCTATTTGCCTCTTGGTGCCAGCCTCAGCCTGACTGACCTTCTTGGCATTCTGGCCCCGGTAGTTGTGCTGCCAATGTCCGAGTTGTCCGAGCAACTATTCCGGAATCGACATAAAAGGCGATGCGAGCATGACCCCTGCTCATCAATTTGCCTTAGGTGTGGTTGATCAATTACAAGCACTTCTTCGATCCCGTCCATGGATCCGTGCCTGGGACAGCGCAAAAGTTCCGCAAAAGCAACAGGACCTAACTCAATTGGATCCGGCTTCCCTTTAGCGAGACTTTTGTGATCTATCTGCGTGGTGACTGACAACGTGGAACGGAGTTCCTGCTTTCTCAATCGGGGGGCACAAAATCCGGAAGCACAAGGACCTCCACGGTCTTTGATCGGCTTCCTTGTGGTTTGTTTCTGGAATTCGTAAGTGGGGGGACTTCGGTTTCGGGTTCCCGGCGTGTTCATGCGTGGAATCCTGGTGGGCCTTGATCTCTGCCTAGTTGGCTGCAGTGGTATCAGGTAATCCGCGGCTGCATTTACTACTTCAAGCTGCTTGACTTCATCAGGGAGCCTCCGATTCGTGCCTCTAGCGTGAGGACCGTTAGGTTAGGAACCTTCATCCCAACAGGGAGAACCCAGTCGGTTCAGTACTTGATTACCTGCGATCTAGGAGCGACTCACATTAAAGACGTGGCACATGGCGCAGAGCTGGGCTCGAAGCCACCTTGACAGAAAAGCAGCTCATTGTTGGAAGTTGAACCGAGCCATACTCGACCCAACCCTCGGCTCACGGTACCCCGGCATGAAACTGCAGCAGGCAGCTCCTGGCACATCAAAACGCCTCGATCAGTCCACAGCGCACTCGCTCAGAAACAGCTCGTGGTAGCGGCTGCATGAGAATGGCATCGCGGGGAAGGAGTCCCCAAGCCGCCTCGCGTCGTCACCCGAACCGAAGCCTGCTGCACGGGAAGCTGCGATGATCGTGTACCATCCAGGCAGGAATCCCAGCGACCGGTAACTTAGATGTGATGCCAAGTGCTCTACCCTGCCAGGCCGATGGCACGTCGGCTTTGCATTCTCCTTAGCTGGCTCTGTGCTGCCCAAAGCCATGCTCTGGGGCATCCCCAGTGGCATCCTGGCAGTGGGGACACTCGGCTGGACAGGAGGACAGGGTCAATTTTGCTACATGTCGGGACATGGGATGATGCGCAAGGGCTCAAAGAACATGAGGGAGTGGCTTCGGTCCTTTAAGTCCTGGCCTCAGGCTCAGCCTTCTCATGAAGCAGCTGGAGGTTACAATGGACAACTTCTCTGTTGGACCCTTATTAGTCGCAAGAGCACCATGCCCATTGTACGAAGGGATGCACCAGCAACTGTAAGTGCAGCCACGGCCTCCCTTACGGCTTTACGGCCCTTGCATGGAGTTCAGAAGCACTGCAGCTATGATGTTTCGTCTTCTGTTTGTTTGTCGGCCTTTGTCCGTGTATGCCATGCATGGCTGACTCTTGTATTGATCTGCCGGCATGTCTCTTTGATCAGATATGTGTCGCATATGCGCATGCTTAGGTTAGCCAAGCTTGGGCAGCCTACAATGCAACTTCGATGCTCATTAATTCCATTCCGATTTTGCTGACAACCAGTAGCAGTAGCAATCAGAATGCCAATGTGCTTCTTCCGGTTGCCTGACAGGCGATGTGTAAGTTGCACTGTTTGACAAAGGCAGTCACAAAACGCCTTATCATGTCTTATGCATTCCAGGCGTCCAAAGCGTCTCACGCGAGGTCGCAACCCAAACACAACTTTTCTGAACTCGCAACTTTGAAGGTTTAAGAGCAGTTTCGGGCTTTCGAGTTCAGATGCCTCAAACCTCCTGCCCCTTGTTCAAGAAGCTTTGAGGCTTTGCGATAAAAATGGCTTCAACCCCCAGAAGCTCGTGTCGTCGGGTATGCTGGGATTCTTTGAATCTTCGAACCTTCCAAAGTCGGTCCCTGTAACGAACGAGCCAGATTTACAGAAGCAA